CTGCAGGACCTGCAGGAGGAGCTGGCCAGCCTTAAGAACCACTTCCAAGTCCAGCTGCTGCAAGAGATGAAGAAGGTAATGCTCGCTCTGCGGGATGTATCAGCAGCACTCGGGGCAGGGTTTGGGGCTGGAGGAGCACAGATTCCCCTTCTCAGTCCCGCAGAGTCCAAGAGGTTTGAAATAAATGAGGGTGTCACAGCTTTGATTGATGGGATGATAGTCCCTGAGGAGAATAAAAGCTGTTTGTGATACAGCGTGTAAGTCGTGCCTCAGGGGGTGGTGACCACTGGATTTGGGAGCAGCCTTTGAGGCGATTACGCAGTGACTGTCCCCCTCGATGTCATGTGGTTCTGAACGCATCACCGTCTGGTGTGACAGCGGCCGGGCTTGGGAGGAGAGACCTTTGCTCTGGCCCACTATGGCAACGAGCACGGTCCCGTCTCGTGCAATAGAAGGTACAAGTACAGGAGCTCAGAAGAAGGAAATGCCTTCTGACCGACCTCCTTCGGTCAGGCTTGTGGTGCGCTAGGGAAGGAAGAAAGGTAAAGGCAGGAGAAGGGCTCTTGCCTGGGTGTGTGCAGGGGGAGCGCGAAGAGCTAGGAGGAGGGATGTGGTGGAAAAGAGGAACCCGTGTAACTCTGTGGGTTGTGGGGCAATCTGCTCGGGGGGTTGGCACCAGTAACCGAATTTGCTCTGGAATGGGATCTTCCTCATCTCCTTGCAGTCTGGAACAAGTTTTACTTCTTTCTAATCTGAAGCGTCGGGCTGATTTAATGCGATTCGCCCCTTTTCTGGAAGTGGTCTCTAACAGTTTCCCTCTGACGGAGGTGAAGGTGACCCGGCTCTGGCTGTGGTTTAGTTCACGGTGGTGATTGTCCGTTGTCCAGGGTACGAATCGATCAGTCAGGTCTCTGAACACCGGGTGTTTGTCGTAGCTGCTCAGGAACCACTGAATTATATTAACGTCAGTGCAACAGAGCATAGCAGTTAAGTAAGTTGCGGTTTGATGTACGAAGACTTTAGAGCACACGCATGTTTTTTTTAAAAAAAAAAAAAAAAAGTCCTTTAGCAGATTGTGACACGAGTTTGCTGCTTCCCACCCCCACCTACAGCAACGCAGATAATGCCGGTAACAGGGCCTCTGCAGAGCAGGGAGCAAAACCAAAACCGCTTTTAGTTTATTTTATCCCCAAATAAACAAATACCCAAAAAGGCAAGTTGGCGTGGTGGCTTGTGTAGGGCTCTAGGGGAAGGGATGGCTCTGCGCCTGTTTGGCGTTCAGCAGAGCAGAATTAAGCGTGTAAAGCGCAGGCCCCCTGCCCGGAGCGTTGAGCTAATTAACCCCACCATGTCTCTCTGCCCCCAGGCTGCCCAGGCAGAGGAGCAGCTCCGCCAGCGCGCCCAGACGGAGGAGCAGCGAGTGGCCGACTTGGAGGGCCAAGTCTCCGAAGTGTCCGAACTCCTTGGCACTTACGAAAAAGCCAAGCAGAAAGACCAAGTGATCATCCAGAAGCTGAAGGACCGCATCGTACAGTTGGACCTGGAGAACAAGACCCTGGCCATCGCTGCCTCCAGCCGCTCCCCTGTGGACATTCACGTAGAAGAAGCCAATCTTGATGTTAATGTTCTGAAGGATAAAATGGAGAAGCTGAAGAAGCTCTTGCAGGCAGCAGCTAAGAAGAGTCAACCTGCTCTGGACATCGAGAAGCTGTGTGAGCTGGAGCTGCCGAAGGGCACTGAGGCTGGGGATGGCGAGAAGGCCACTGCTCTGTACTACCAGCAGGAGCTGAAGCAGCTGAAGGAAGAGTTTGAAAGGTACAAGATGAGGGCGCAAGTGGTCCTCAAGAACAAGTCGGCCAAAGACGGCAATCTGGCTAAGGAGCTGGAGGAAGCTCAAGAGCAGCTGGCTGACCTGAAAGAGAAGTACGTTGTGCTTCAGCTGTCCTCTGATGAAATGGAGAAGCAGCACCAGCAAGACATGGAAGCCAAGAAGCAAGAACTGTCCCAGCTGCAGCAAATTCATAGGCAGGAGTTAGAGCGATGCCAGCTGGACTACAGGGATCGGGCGCTGAAGCTGGAGGAGGAGATGCACAAACAGCGGGACCGAGCGCTGGCGGTGCTGGCGGAAAAGGACCAAGAGCTGGAGCAGCTGAGATCTGTCACGTTGCCCTACGGGCTTCAAGGATCCAAAAACTACCTAGCGGCGGGGACTGACATGCCTAGCAGTGACTCGCCAGGTAACGAGTCCTCAGAGGTTCTCCCCCAGGCTCTCCATCTCTCCGCCAGCAGCGAGCCCACCTTCTTCCTGTACGCGGAGCAGCTGGCTCGCAAAGAAGTGGAAATCGTAGCGCTGAGGAAGCAGAAGCACAAGCTGGAAATGCAAGTTCACCAGCTGCAGGAGAAAATCTTGGTTGAGGAGGAGAAGCACCGGGAAGAGGTGTCCGCTCTTCAAAGCGAGATCGAGAAGAATTTCAGAGATAAGAGCAGGGAGGGAGCCAACCTGGAATACCTCAAGAACATTGTCTACAGGTTTTTGACGCTGCCGGATTCTCTCGGGCGCCAGCAGACTCTAACTGCCATTCTGACTATTCTGCATTTCAGCCCGGAAGAAAAGCAAGCGATCACAAAGCAGTCGGCTTACAGCAGCTGGTGGCTGTCCGGGAAGAGATGAGACGGTAGTGTTTATTCCTAACTGCTCTTGCACAGCAGCGGGTTTCTGATTATTAACCGAGAGCACTTTGCTCGTGGTGTAACCTCTTGCCAACCGTGTGACGGAGCAGGGAGCTTCCAGCAATAAATTGGGCCTAAAAAGTGCGCTTAGCGCTAATTTAAAGTAGAATTGTGCCAACCGTTCCAGCGGGGTCGCAGCGCGCTCTCGCTCTCCGGTGTGAGGATTTGCTCCGTGTTGGAACTTGATTTTAAAAAAAATAAAACAAAAATCGAAGATACCAATGCTTTTCTAAACACAATTTAAAAAAAAAAAACCATCCCCACCTGTCAGGCGCAGGGCGAGGAGCTCTGTCGGAGTGGAACCCGCTCGCATCCTCAAGCACCGGACGGGCTCGTGACTGCAAAGATTGAAAGGTGGGGGGAAGCACTTAGCTAAAATAACACAAGACAAAGAGCTGAAAGCCTGCGAGAAGGATTGGCCTTAACTCCCAGCATCATCCAAACGCAGAAAATCTTGTGCAATTTCTCAAAAGTTTGTGGTTTGTTTGGTTTTTTTTTTTTTAACCTAGAGCCAAATTTATACCAGTGAATAAATACAGCAGCTCCTCGGAGCACTGGGGACCATCCGACGGCACAGCCGTGGGCGCTCACACTGAGCTGGGAGTCTCTCTGCCATTACCAGTGTTTCCCAGGAAGGAGGAAAGCTTTCCTGAGTATTTACCAGTCTGGAGCGCAGTGCAAGCAGTGCTCCCCACCCGTGTCAGAGCTCCTGCTGTGCAGCAGATACCGGAGCTTTCTGACCCTGCCTGCGATGGGAACCAGGGTCCTGCAGAAAGCAACCCGAGGAAGGGCTGAAGGCACGCTGGCCCCTCAGCAGTCATTTTCTGGGCATTTGGGAGTTCTGGTGAAGCTGTGGATGCTCCGCAGCGTTGGTTTTGGGAGGCAGGAGATGCTCCTGCTGGGATAGAAGCAGCAGCAAGGGGCAGAAGGTGACAGCTCTGGGGCTCGGCGTGGCCTGCGCTTGCAGCAAAGCTGTGTGAGGATGAAGAGCTGCCCTGCTGCTGCGCAGGCCCTGAGGCTCTTGCATAAATTCCTTGTGAATTGGTGAGCGTGGCAGGAAGGAAGGCAAAACGTTTTGAAACCCCTCTGGACCGCTGTCGGCTCCCCGCTGGCGTGCCCGCGTCTTGCAGTTGTGCCCCGGATCTGCTGGCTCCCGACTGCTCAGACCCCGAACGACTGAGCTGAAAGCCCTGGCGCGGCGCCTGTAGCAGGCGTTGTGTGAACGGTCGCTAAAAGCAGAGCGTGCGGTTTGCATATCAGTGGGCTGTGTGAGAAGGAGGGGGCCTCGGCGTGCAGCTGTGGGCACGGGAGGGCAGCGGGCAGGCTCGGTGCGAGGCCGGTGCTGGCACGAGCAAGCTCCTCTCTCCTCTGCTGCGGCAGGAATCTGCCTGGTGGCGTTTGAGCTCTGCGCTCGGGCGCCGTGAGGGGCGACGGGCTGGGGCAGGGGGGGGCGTTGAGACAAGGGAAGCAGCACCCTGTCTGGAGGGACGGACTGGGTCCCTGGGGATCTCCCCAGCCGATCCCCTGGGTGCTGGGCCACTAGAGGGCACCCACCAGTTGCCCAGTCCCCAAGGACAGGGGACCTGGGGTGCAGCCACCCCTGGCAATGCCAGGGGATGGGACCTGGCTCTGAAAAGCAACACACGAGGAAAGCGGCACGTGGCCTGAGAGGGCTCAGCGACGCTGGCGAGCCTGGGTCCTGGCTGGTCCACGTGGCGGGGGGGCAATGCTGTATCGCAGGGCGGCTCGCACGGGGGCTGCACAGGGGGGTCAGCAGGGTGGGCTTCCCTGTCCAAAATGTTGTCTGCTGCTCCTGAGGGCAGGGTGCTGACGCTTGCTGTAACCTTATGCAATGTGAGTGCGCTGGCTGTTGTGTGTCCGGTGCTGCCTGTCGGCGTTCAGTTATCCGGCACGGGAAGCACCTCTGCGAGGCCGGCAGAGCCGCGCTGGCTGCATCTCCTGGAGGAGCGCCCGTCGGGCAGTGTTTGTGCTGATATTGAAATGGTCACTGCGCTCTCAAAACCGGGGAGGGATGTTTGCTTCCTGAGATGTTGGGTGGTTGCCTGCAGCCCCGGGAACCGGCTGCTCCTGGCTCTGCGCTTGCTGAGGCTTCTAGAGCTTTCTCACCTGCGTCGGCAAGATCTCGCTTGAGTTTTGCTTTCGTGCACCTGCTTTGGTTTTAATTAAAGCTTGGCTACTAAAGCACAACTTCCCCGTTCCGGAGTACAGGGAACGTGGTTGTAAACACCGGCGTTAAGTCTTGTTTTAACAACACCCAGGCTTCTCCCGAGTCCTGGAGCCGAGTTAACAAACCGGGGAGGCCTGGGCAGCTCTTCAGGAGGGAGCTGCTGCGCCTCTGGGCAGCGCCGGAGCCTTCGGCCGCTCACGCCGGCTCAGCTGGGTTGATGAGCCATCGCTGCCGCCGGACGAGCCCGGCCGCTCAACGCAGGCACGTGCTGCTGGCTCTTGGGCGCGTGGTCCTTGCGCGGCTGCGGCTTTGCCGTAAAATACTGGAGTGTGACACAGCGCGTGTGGTTTTTCTCGCGGAGGACGTGGGCTCTGCGGGGCTCCCTTCCCCGCCTCGCAGCATCTCAGCCCAGGGACCCGGAGGCTGCGAGTGCCTCCGCAGTTCCCAGGCCATGGGAGAGCTTTAGCAGTGGAGCAGGACCCAGTCCTTCCCCTTCTCGGGGCTGTGCCGGCAGTCCTTGTCCTGTCAGTGGCCGAGTTCCCTGGCATCCGCTCCATAAATCCCACCTTGCCGAAGGCAAGGGCAGTGCTCCGCCTAACGCAACCCGTGGTGCCAACTTCTCCAAAAATCCTCAGGGAAAACGCCCCAAGCAGAACCTGTGCCTGCTGGGGGTCTCAGGAGGGGAGGACAAAGCCAAGCAGTCAGTGAGCGGTTCCTCATGCCGGCACGGACGCCGCCTCTGTGCAGAGGCCGGGCCGAGGGCATCGGCAGTTGGTCCCGCGCAGGATCCGTGTGCGGCTCTGCTGGAGGCGACTGGATAGAAACTGGAGTTTGTTCCAGGGAGTGGTTGGGCTTGGGCTCCTCAGCTTTGAAGCAGTTGTCACAGACGTGCATGTTGGCTCAGCGAGATCTGCGGAGAAGAGCCTGGCCTCTGGTCCCGATTTGGAAAGCTTGAATCAAGCGGTGCCTCTGAAACCGCAGGCGTTGCTGAAAATCCATGGGAGTGGGAGCCGTGCCCACAGCGCTGAGG